CGTCGTTAATTCAGACGCAGGCACACAAGCAGCAAATTCTCCACCTTTTAAATATAGAGTAGATACTCCTCTTACCGGTCTTGCAGTTTTTGGACTACCACCCAGAATTATAACCGCTGGTAGTTTAGAATCACTAACTAGCAGAGTATCCGTAATTAAAAGTAAACAGGATGTTAAATCACAAGCTGAAATTCTGGCCTCAAAATCGCCATCGAGTTTTGTTCCACTGACTACACCCGCATCTCAACCAAAAAATGCACTCATTTCAACCACAGCAACTAAACCTTTAGCCAGCGCACAATTCCCTAATAATAGTAGTGCAGTTTCTGAACCACTCCTGTACTCTACAGAACCTCCTTACTCCGCTGGGGTACAGAAGTTTGCTAGACCACAACATACTGCAGAAGCTCAGTATTATGCTGGACCAAAGTACTCTGTCAAGACGCAGCCTTCAAGAGGGGTCACCGGATTGAAAACTGGTAGTAATACTGCCATCGAATCAAATTTGGACGCAGAACCTGTGAACTCTGTGCCTCCTAAATTAGTAGCAGATGATCATATTGTTGGTTTTGCAGTTTCTGGACTACCTCCCAGCATTATAACCGTTGGTAGTTTAAAATTACTAACTAGCACAGTACCAGTAATTAAGACTGAGCCAGGTGTTAAATCACAGACTGAAACTCTGACCTCAACTGTGCCATCGTCATCGAATTTTGCTCCACTAACTGGATCGTCAATGCAACCACAAAATACACTCACTTCAAGCACAACAACTAAACCTCTAGCAAGCGCACAAATTCAAACTAATAGTAGTGCAGTTTCAGAACCAATTCTGAATTCTATGGAAGCTCGCTATTCCTCCAAACCACATTCTTCTACAGAAGTTATTCGGTCGGGAACTGGTAGTGATGCTATTGCCGGGCCGAAAACAGACACCGAACCAATTAATCCTGCGCCTCCTAAATTGGTGGCAGATGCTCATATCACTGGTTTCGCAGTTTCCGGAATAAAATCCAGCAGTGTATCCGCAAGTAATTCAGAGTCACCGAATGACGCAGTACCATTAGTGCAAAATAATCACGAAACCTTGATTTCAACCACGCCATCGTCACTGAGTCCATTTTCACTGATTACGTCTCTGGAGCAGCGAATGAATGGACCGTTGTCAACGACAACAACTAGTACTGCTACAATGACGATGGTTCCAAATAATGAGAGCGCAATTTCAGCCTCATTTTTTAAGTCTAGTCAGGCTCAGTATTCCAGTGGAGCGCAGTATTCTGCTAGAACGCTGTCTTCCATGGATGTCAACCGTTTGGAAAGCCATAGAGGAAGCACTGTTAATTAAACCGACAGTTAGAGCGTGTCATCAAATACAGTAAAAGAATTTTTATACTATACTCAAATGTCTTCCTACCAGTGATTGTAAGTTTTCACGTTCTGATCTAAAAACAGACTTATTTCTAATTGTGCAGTTCTACCGTTCCGCTTTTTATTATTCAAATAATTTCAATTATTAACTTTCTTGATAATACTTCCCAACTGAGAACGGAAAAAACTGAGTACTGAAAATTTCAGACATTTTTCATGGTAAGTAAAACATCGGCAAAACTTCTACAAATTAACGGATGAGAAAACCATTTCTTTTGGCTATAAAGTGCATGTGTTATTGAAAAGTTCTTGTCACTTTATAAAAATTTTTTAACTTCACCTCTGCATCCATTGCATTTATACCATATTTGTCAATTTCATGCGAATAACTTAATAAACACTTTGTTAAACACTATTCAAATTTATCACGTGACCAACTTACATTATTATACAGCAAAAAGTTTTTTTTTCATCTGGATACATGGAGCATTAATAACTAGAAACTGCATGGATCCATCTGCATCACTGCTGCTGTTCATAACTGATTGAACTTTATTGCATGTAACAGTTTACAG